AGTGAAGAAGGCCACTCTAAGAGTTGCTGTAACCTTCCAAATCAGGTTACGTGGGGAGTCATCATGATTTCTTATCCCCCTGCTCAAATGTCAATAAAATGGTTTCACTGAGTCCCTGATGCATTCAACTTCTACGCATTGGTTGATCTTTATGATTTTGGGACACTTTTATCCCTGTGAGGCATCTCAACAACCTCAAGTTCTCATGACACTCCTAGTCATTTAGATTTTTAACCAGCAGACACTCCTAGTCATTTAGATTTTTAACCAGCACAACCGACCACTCCACGCTCTCCCTGGAGTCTATCAAGGATTCTTTGATGGTGGCTTCCTCGAAGCAAGTTAAAGCAAAAATATTAGGAAATTAATGAATCAAAGCCCCACCCTCTAGCCCCTCATCTCTAGAAGCTCACTTTGGCACCTTACTCTCCATTTAGCTCACTCTTGAAAGTCCCCTTTCCTCATGAGAACCCTAGGGAAGTGTGCAAACCAACCTCATTCTTATCATACTAGCAATTGACACTTTTTTTTTCTTAAATGCCTCCCTCATTCAAAATCTCCATAACCACTTCACTTGAAGCGTTTTATTAAAATCCACCAACGATCTCAAGCTCAAACCTCCATTATGGAGCGGTTTTTTCACCTTATCCCATGCCACAAGATGATACTTTTTCCTCTCATCTGAGATCGCCCCATAAAATTTACATTGGATCCTCTCCAATCTCTTGGCTTCATTAGAAGGAATAGTAGCCAGAGATATAAAATATGTGGCAATATTGGGTAAGGTGCTTTTGATAAAGATCGGTCTGTCCCATTTTTGCCGTAAACTTCTTTCTGACTAGTTAATCGAGATTCAAAATGGTTGGTTACTGGTCCTCACATCGGAACCTCCCTGAACTTGGACCCCTCAAGGGAGGACCCAAGTACTTGATTGGTAGATTCACGTCTCCACACCCCAAAGTTATGGCCAGTTGCCTTGGTTCGCGACTTAGTGCAATTTGCGCTAACTCTAATTTTGACAAGTTAATTTTGAGACCCGAAACAACTTAAAAACAAAGTAACACGCATCTGATTAATGTTACGCTCTGTCATCTGGTTCTCAAATGAACAAAGAGTTGTCAGCAGAAAAGAGATGTGGAAGTATCCACCCTTTCCACTCCCTCCTCAATTATAAGATCTCGATCCTTTTGTCGACGGATGCTCCTATTACACTCATAGTTTCTGAAGAATAAGAACCAACTATGTAGCATCTACATCGAGAATTCAAGTATCGTATATGTCATTAGTACGATCCTTTATAGGAACAACCTGTAATCGGCCCAGCAGCCAAGCATGCAGGTGAGTCCTGCCTCCTTCTGTACTTCATCTTCTTCATTCATCTGCATCATCTTTCTTCAATCATCTTCATCTTTGGCTTTGCATATTTCAAGGCTGTCAACAAAACACTATTGAATTGCCTCCATATCTTGCTAATGCCGTGAACATTATTATTTGCTCTGCTACCCTTCTGACCAACCATCTCCATGGATGTACCTACAAATCTCCTATCGATTCTTTGCCATCCACCGTCTTGTTTGCCCTTACAAACTTCATCATTTTTTCCTCTTGTTTTACCACTATCAATGACTCAGAAAACTGATTCATCCGGGTCGTTACTTCTTTTACCTCACTTGTGAGTCTCCATGACAAATCCATTCCTTGAAGACCCTGAAACTCAAATTCTCTCATTTACAGGTTTTGTGCTCTTCGATTTCTCCCCATTGTTCCAGTATGTAGCAGACTTGCGCTCAACATCAACTTGTAGACTTTTGGGGTTCAAGCTGTTGGTGTTTTGACCATTTTGACCTTCGGCTTCATCTAACTAGGATTGGGCAAGGTTTATCTTAAACCTGCATGGTGCGAAAAGAACAAATTTTTTAAAAGCCTGTCCTTGGTTCAGGGCTATTTCGGGGCAAAGCATTCTTTACTTGGGTTTTGGTAAAACCAGCTCGAACCTGCCCTATTGTCATCCTTATCCACAAAGTGTGGTTTCTGCAAATCATGCCTGATAGAAGCTGATCTTTTCTCCTAATAAAATTCACTAAAAAATTCTTAGTAGCCAAACCACCTTAATTTCTGCAAAATAATAATGGAATTGAAACCTTTACAATGCTTGTTGATACTAATACCATTGGCATTGCCTCCCGCGAGCACAATGTTGTACATTTTTGCTTAGTGACTAAGAATTTATGAGGAGGAGACACCATCATGAGAGAAGACCCCAACACCAGACATAGGACTAATTGAGAAGCAGGAAAGAGGATGTTTTCTCCAAGAGAGAGAGAGAGAGAGAGAGAGAGAGAGAGAGAGAGAGAGAGAGAGAGGTGGGAACTTTAATTTGGTTGGTCTTGTTGATTGGTATGAGAGTTTGGTTTGTGCAAGTTAATTACGAATCTCTTGTAAATTTGGGTTTTGTATGTGGTGTTAGGTATTTCTTTGAATCTTTGAATTTTATGCCATTAATGATCTGTTCAAAGATTTTGTTGGAATTTTTATTTCACTATGATTGATTTGTAAATTCTAATTGAATTCTCTTTTCTTGATTGAAGTTTCAGAACGTGGTAGAATCCAGTTCTTAACTCAGATTCGATCATTTTGTTATTTCAATGAACAGGTTATGGCCCAGCAGGATATGCTTTATTCGTGGCAGTTTATGCAGGATTGGAGGCATACACTTGATCCCTTCTTTGTGTTTAGTGCATAATTTTCCCCCCACCCCATACATGTTTAGATGTTTAATTTGGATTTAATTAGGTTTTCAAACTGGTTTATCTATGTACCAGAAGAAAATTATAAATGTTTCTAGTGTGACTTTTAGAACATATTGTTAGTTTTCTTTTGGAGTTACATTGGATAAACTGACCTTGGGTAATTTGGTTCTCAAGATTCTTGCAATTCCAGCCATTCCGTTGACAATGTCAGCTGGTCTTCTTTTTGGGTCTGTCATTGGAACCATCATAGTTTCTATTAGTGGAACAGTAAGTCTTTTTTCTTTTGTTTTCTTTTCTTTTGAACTTTGGAAAGATGTTCACTTTTGTTAAACTTGATTTCCAATAATTTTTGTACCTTTCTTAGGTTGCTGCAAGTGTTGCCTTTCTAATCGCCAGATATTTTGCTCGAGAGCGGATTCTTAAATTAGTGGAAGGAAATAAAAAATTCCTTGCAATTGATAAGGCAATTGGTGAAAATGGCTTCAGGGTTGTTACCTTACTAAGATTGAGTCCTTTGCTTCCTTTCTCTTTGGGAAATTATCTGTATGGCTTGACATCTGTGAAGTTTGTACCATATGTATTGGGAAGGTCCGTCTTTTCACACAAAGGATTCTTATTTTATTCTTGGCTAATGCTTGCTACTGTCTATAATAGGTTTTAGATTAATTGCTTTAGTTCCCTTGGCTCTCCGCTCTTTTGCTTAATCTAATATTCAACTTATAGGTGATTTCATTGTTATGCTTGAAGTGCAGAGACATGATTGCATTTGCCATTATAGTTACTTGCATATGAGAAGGTTAGATTGCGTATATGTATGATGTGTTAACAAAAGAGCACAGGAGAAATGTACTGCATGGTTATTGTTTCTGCAACAGTAGATTTGCTTATCTCATTTCTCTCTCTTTTGTCAAGGTTTACAGTTTTAGATACTCAATATAGTTGGAATAAAAAATTTGGCTATAAACTTTTTTGAGGAAATGTCTATCCATCTAGGTTGGAAGTTATGAGAGAAGTTATCATTTTTTTCTACCTGAACTCTTCATGTCTTTGAAAATAAAAAATGGATCCCTACTTAAAAATGTATTGTTACTGTCACTGGTTAGAAATTTCCTAGTAATACAACCTTTTCATTATTGCTGGAACTTCAGTGAGCTCTTATCATTCAGGGGAACTCCCAGTTGTTCATAAAAAGTTAGTTATCTGTTAGTTATGTCATAAAAAGTT